CATTTGTAGTTCAAAAAATATTGTCAACTTTGATTATAACTGGCCTTGCATTATCCTTTTTTCTAAATATTTCCAATACTCCTGAACGAACACATAGAGAAAACTAAGATTCAATGATGGATATTTATGTTATGAGTCGTTTACCTGAAATATTTCGAAGTTTCAAGGAAGTTCTGACCAAGAAGCATATATATGATCTGGAAATTGTCAAATGAATTGAGGGGTGTGTTCAATTTTGCTTATTATCGCCAATGAAGTACATTCATTATTGAAACCCTTTCAAAAAAAGCTTATATTGACTATTCCTATAAATTCATGAAGTTTCTCGTTCAAATTTCAAGAGGGAGTACATTAGATGCAGGCTTTCTTGAATTAATATTCAGAATTGAAAAAATGAAGATCTACGTGAAATTCAACCGAGGATAATTAGTCTTTCCATGAATCGAAATCTTGTGTGAAAGTTTGAATGGACATATTCATCTGAGATTCAACAAATCATTCATCAGCTTTTGTTAGTATAAATAAAACAAAAAAAAATTTTTTTGGGTTAGGTGTAATTGCTTCTAGAAATTCCTTCATCACATCTAATATTGATAAGGAAATTATTGAAAATGACAAAACATGATTTCTCCACTACTGGGGTATTTGATCTCAGAACCACTATTTGAAGCTCATTACATTGAGTTGAGTTTCATTGATCAAATGAGTCAAATCCAACAAAAAACTTCCATCAGAAACTAAAAGCAATATGGTTTCATGACTATTGCTTGTAATGGAAAGTTTTCATCCTTGTATGGATTTTCTAATTCATTAGCTACAGCACAAATAGAATTCGTGCGTCGTCCTTGCTTTCTGTCTACTGATTAATATATGTCGACATATATAAATCAACTGAATGGGATACTAGCTTTGAATAAATCGACCAGAAGATTGACATTGACATAGGTGATCTAAAATTCTAATTTCATTTCGGATATTTAGGAATATTTTGATCTCCAGAAGGTTGCCGAATTTCAAATCACCTTGTTATTGTAACAAAGTGCAAACGTCAGATGAATATTAATGAAGCAACTTTGGTTATTAATCACAGAAAAAAATATTATATTATCAAGGAGAATAAGATAAATGAGTGAAATTCTCATAAACGAAAGCACTCGTTTTGGTTAACTAATTATATTTGCGATTTTTTTTGTTAAAATATATTCCACTATTGTGATTATTTCTATCTATTTCCATTGACTTTTTGCGTATAAGTTCATTATATACATTATGATTGGCATGTTTCTTATCCAGGAAATGTTTTGAATGTTATAATTTTGTAACTCTAATAAACTTGCGAAGGAACTTTTATATGAACATCGAATGGTACACAAAAAATACTTTTTCATATTCACCTTGTAATCCAAACAGTCATTATGGAGTTGAATCATATATCATTCACAAGATTGCTATACTATACAGTATACGAAAGAGGTAAAATTTCATTTACATGGAACACTGTTATCCTCAATAGCGAACATCGATGTTTCGGAATGAGACACTTTTCTTGTTGCCTGTTCAACACCAATCTGGATAATATAGATTCATTATATTACGACTAATGTCACGAATGAGTTGAATATACTCATGTGTCACGGATCAGTTAAATCTACTAATGTCATCTATAACAGTACGTAATGGCATTTATTCGCTTATTTCATTCAATCCCAGTCATGGAAATCGAAATCGAGAGGGGTATATTTTTTGAAGAGAATAAGTTTTAAGAAAGAATGGCTAAGCTTTCTGCTCTTTATAAAAAATTGCGGGAATTTTCCAAAGAAATAATGGAAGCAAATAATTTGTGATAGTTTACCCGGAATGATTTCTTACAAGATGTCTTATTGTAATAGTTACCTATTTTTTTTGATGATGGAAAACTGTGTTGCCGAAATTCGAATAGTATTTTCATAGTTCTATCGTATATGGTACTGAAGATTGATTCCTCATTGGAGAAACTCAATCTTATTTCTTTCATTTATATCTATATTCATATTATCAAAGATGATGAAAGTTTTCTCAGATTGTTGCAGTAGCTTGTTACTATTACACACGAATATTGAAAAACATATCACCAATGCACTAAAATGCGACCGAGCATAGATTGAATTTTTGACCATAATCGTAGGTACCAAGTAATCTCAATTAGTTGAAAATAATCACGCTTGTCAAAAATTTTCGTTATATGCTTTCGTAATAGGTCGTACACTTTATTTATGACATTATTCAAAAGTACGAAAAAATGATAATCAAAAATATATATCTCTTTAGCGTAGGTATGCATAAGGTAACCAAAATATTCAGAACTGAAGGTTTTCCAATACTTTTCCACAGTATAATAGCTTCGAAAGTTAGAGATATATGTCAATTATAGAAAAAAGTGTTTTCAACTTTTCACTTCTCCATCTCCATACTAAAATAGTAGGCAAAATCCAAAAAAACTAGAAAGCGAATGAGTTCAAAATAAACACTTCACAAAGATGTGTGAATTTACATAGAATTTACACACTGTTATGAACTGAAAGAAAAATAACTCTCGAAACAAGTACATTCATTCACATGAACATTAAATTGTATGAAATAAAAAGTCCTTTCGAAATGACTACGGTCATATGTACATTGAATTATACCAAAAGCACACTTTCGCATTCGGCTTGTACTCCAAGCATTTCATCATGAATTTAAATCAAATATCTTTCATAGAAACGAATGTTTGCAGTACGAACTTAGTGGGAAAAATGATTTTCGTATAGTCGAATATAAATATTTCAATAGGTGAAAGTAGTTGAGAAAGAATTGTTTTTTCGTGTAATTCAATGTTCGTGTAAAAGTAGTTGTTTCGGAAGAGTTTTTTCTTCCAATTTTTATGAGTGTATTCCATGCATGATCCACACATCTCCGTTTGAGTTTATTTTGAACCTTATTGCTTTCATCCTTCCTTCAAAAGTAGAAAGTCAAACCTTTTTTTCTCGAAAACTAATCTTTTCTAAAAATATACCCCTCTTTCATTTAATTTCAAATCTGTTGTAGGAGCCAAATAGTTGGCACTAAAGGTTATAACAAATTCATTTGTGACTGCGACACCACGTAATTTTGAAGTGAAATCATATATTGACTTCAACTGAAAAAGAGTATTTAAAGGCATTATCATATATTTGTCAGATTTCTCGTTTATAATACAGTTCAAGGCTTCTTCTGTGTTATAGTCGTTGAAAGCTATGTAATAAACCAGACCGGATTTCAAAAACATTGTGCCAGTAGAATCTTTTCGAATATTCAAATACAACTTTCAACATCGAACGATTGTAGCTGAATCTACTTCGTTGAAAAATGTTTCTTGAGTTGACAGATATCTAGATCTTATACTTATAAAAGCGAAAGTCATTTAACACTCACTCGTGTCTGTTTTTCCGTACTTGTAATTACTAGGAAGCTAAATTTAGTAAATTGGTGCTTCTTAGATCTAAGATGCGCACTAAAAAAGGATTTTCGAATAATTCAACTCTGGCGCCCCTCGTGGGGGTGAAAGGGGAGCGTTTACATATGAAAATCATATTTTCATCACTGTTTCTCCGCACCGCTAGATTATTGGAGGCTGAAATTCTATATGTACGTTAATTTTATGTTGTATATGTGCAGTAAGAGAAGAACTTTCAAATATTCTAACTGAGGCGCCCCCTGGGGAGCGTTTACACATAAATATTATCTATTCATCAGTGTTTCTCCGTACCGCTATATTTTCGGAGGCTAAAATTTTGTATGTATACTCATTTCATGTTGTAGATGTGCAATAATAAAGAATTTTTGTATAATATATCAACTGAGGCGCCAGCTGCGGAGGAAAATGGGCGTTTATGAAATAATGTTACCTATTCATTACTGTTTCTCTGTACCGCTACATTTTCGGAGGCTGAAATTTTGTATGTAGGTTAATTTTATGTTGTATATGTGCAGTAAGAGAAAACATTTTGAATATTCCAACTGGGGCGCCAGCCGCGGCGGAAAATTCCACGTTCATAAAATAAACTTACCTTTTCATCACTGTTTCCCTATACCGGTATATTTTCACAGGCTGAAATTTTGTATGTAGTTACGTTTCATATTGAAGGTGTGCAATTAAAAAATATTTTTGAATATCCTAGTTGGGGCGCCAAACGCCTGCCCTTGCCATGTCCTTGAATTTCCGGTGGGTGAATTTATATTTAGTATCAGCATCGCACCCGTGCAGAGACGGGGTGGGTCGCTTGTATTCCTATAACTGTAATTCAGAATTTCGAAAGTCTTTCTGATAGTCAGAATCATATCTGATTTCAACTAGTTTCCTTCAATACTGGTTCAGTTGGTGGATGCTTTATGACAAGTTTGAAAATTTTATATATTTTCGAAAAGATGACCAGAATATTCGTGAAAACAGTCGTATAATGATCCAAGTGATTGGATTTTATTTATCAATTCGTCCAAACAGAAATGATTCATAAATATGAGAACAACTTGCTCACTTTTCAGCCTCGCTATGATTTAACAATCATAACAAATTTCAGTATCATTTATAAAATTTTCACGAATATATTTTGTTGTCTTGTCCTACATTTTTATTAGTTATTGCCCCATCTCTACTTGATACATGATACGAAGGTCTCTCATCATTCATCAACTCATGAGGAAATATTTTCAACAGAATTTCTTGTTGCATACCAATAATCATTCGATTGCAGCGGTTACTGAAGCGATTACAAAATATCCAATTAAACTATTATTACCATATCAAATATGAGTCAAAGAATCATTACGGCAGGTTATTGATTGTTTTTGAATTATTTGTCATTATACCCATCATTTCACGAATGTTAAATGTCATTGGCTCTAAGTTACCACATTTTGTAGGTCTAGGTTCAATTCGTTCAATGATAACTTCTTTCCCTACTACTCAGTCGTCAAATAATTTTAAACATACACTTTTAGCGAAGCGTCAAGATTTTTATTTCGTAGTAGGTTCTGATGTGTTCAACAACTGAAATGCAGTTTTGAGTTACTATTGTTTGGTTTCAATTGGAATTTTCTGTGGAATTATTCAAAAGGATATACAATTCTTGTTTTAGGATATTTGATAGTTGGTATAGTATAATTTTTATTCAATAGGAAATAGAGGTAAGGAAGATTCCATTATGTTATACTCTTTGTTAGTTTCATGGTTTATAACGCTTCAGTGCGATCTGAACGCTGATATTTCGAAACAGAAACAATAAGAAATGTCTGTTTTTTCAATATATTTCTTTGTTTCATTTTGTCAGGTAAAAATATTCATTCTTGTTCAAAGAGTAGTTTTCAGACCTTCAAACAATCGTGTATAGGTAGTACCTTTCAATCTATCCACTATTTCGAAATAAGTTTTAGGAAGTGACACTTTCTCTTCGTGAATATTAATATCAAGAATGTTATATAACACCAAATATAAATACTTTCAAAATGGCCTTGGAAAATGTTAAATCGCATTATTTTGAAATAACTTGTCAAAAATTTTTCATTTATTTTCCTTTCAGTATCTACATAAAATATAATGCAATATAACAATGATTTAAGTAAGATTTCTAGATCATAAAGTATTTTCAAAGATGTATCATTTCATCTCTCTCTGAGATAATAAATGAAACTTGTCTTTTTCAGTTATTTAGAAAGTATGTATGATTTGTTTCGTGTTGTTGCTTCTGTTGACATTTTCTGACGTTTTCGTATTTCGATTTTCACCTCTTGACATATTTTTTTTTTAATTGTTGTTAGGGGTATGAAACAATATTTCACCCTCAATGTTCATTTCTAGTAGAGGAAATTATTTTTCCTGGAAATAATTGAACTTATTTCAATGAGTATTAATGACTCAATTTGCTTCAAAATTCTTCTTAGTTGTAAATCACGATAAAAAATTGTATCTTTTGTAGACTCTGAAGAAATAATTTTTGCATAAAAATGAAATCTTTTTTTAAGAAACTGGTGGGTGGTACTTGAAGTAAGAAATTTGAAAAAAAATTCACAAAAATGTTTCCTGTTTCGTAAGTTATCGATATTCAAAAAACGGTTATTCCAAAAACTGTTGGAAATTCGACGAATGTTTTTAAAAACAATTTTATGAAATATCCATATTCATTCACGACACATTTCTCTGATGTCTACCGTTTTGGGATGTATATTCAAAAAATCCCCAAAAATAAGATCTCTTCCCCCTTCTCCCACCTCATGCTCACCCCTCAGGAACGGGGACTTTGAGTATGATTATCTATCATTTACTTCTTATGAAACTTTCAAGTTGAAGACTCTGATATTTCATGCATGCTACATGTTCATTGTTTATTGATTGGACTAGATGTTCGTTTTTTTAATAATCAATTGTCCTCATTATACAGATTACTGGTTCATTTTGAAGAAAAATATAGACTCAAGACTGACTCAGAGACATTCGGCAAATCATTGAGGGGACATTTTCAGAATTTGAGTAAATACACACTTCAGTTTAATTTAAAAAAAATGGTGCTCGTTAACCTCCCGCCCGCTTTAAGTGTTATATAAGTATTTCAAATGACTTCCATGAATTTGATAATTGAATGCATCCTTATAGAAAACCTATGATGTTGCTTTTCATTCATTCAGAAAACCTTTAAATTGAAAAATTCTCCATTTCGAGAAAATTCGGAGATTTGTTTGCTGTTCAGTAGCTTTGTCATGAAATACATGTGTATTCATTTTCAATGATGTAATAGCGACGTACGTTTCGGCATTTTTGCTGTCTTCACGTACAAAAATAATGATGAATTACAAAAACAGAAATGTACAATGAGTTTGTTCTGTCGTAACTTTAAAAAGCATTATTCACTCTTATTATTGCGCTACTCAAATTAAACGTTTTCCTACTCTCCGAAGGATTTCGTATGTATGGTATAGAAGTTATTTTGAGGTTTGTCTTTTTACCACTATCATTTGGTGATTGATGATTTTTCAGTCTATTTTTATTGCGTGAAAGTCGAATCACTTATATCACGACATGTTTTGTAGCTACGTAGCGTACGTTTTGTAATATATGTGATATATTTTTGAAAATAAAGTTTGTAGTTCATGAAATTACTATGGATCTTCATAACAACGGCCAAATAAATCAGAAAAATAAAATCGATTAATTTGTGATATATTTCTCCATTTTATTTCTCATTTCGTGTTTGCTAGAGGTATCGAATCAGTACCCTGTGTAGTAGGCCATTAAAATGTAATTCTTGCTATATATTTCAAAATTTCCTATCGTAAATTTATTAAGAAGCTTGTAGTGTACATGTTCATTTGAGAGAAAGTAGCACTGCGAGAACCACATCGCTGCGAATATAACTAATCTGCATTTTTTCTGTTTCAGAAATTCTAACCTACTCTAGTCAAAATGAAGTGTTACGTAAGTCTCGTGTGTTTCTTGAGTGTATTGGTTTACGTGCAATCGGCTCCATTCTTCCCTGGAAGTGCCTCCGCTAGTCTTCAGGTTAGTTGAACTGATTTTATAAGTATGAATAGACCAGAAATCAAAATTGAATTTGATATTTTTGAAACGAGTCGTTACGCTCATGATTTTGGGCGGACTAATGAACCTTCATTTAGTCGTGAAGAAAAACCCCTGAAATTAGTATCAAGTTAAAAAAATGGACTATTTCCATTGACGCTAATGGGAAGATTTTTTTTTCCATTTCTTATAAAACTCTCACAGTATTTATCATAAATTAGTATAATAATATAAAAATTGAAATTGATTCAGAACTGTCAAAGATATGATAAATGAATTGATTATAACCTTTCTGGTTCATCGTGAAATTCTGTACCAAAAACTTCATTATTGGAGGCAATGTCTAAAATTTTCATACGAATAAGTTTCCCATTAATCATTATTGAATATCGCTATCCTGTGTTTTGTCAGATAGTATATTGAAACATAATTTATTAAGATAGTGGCTTCTCAAGTTGCGGAAGAGATTAGTGAGACCGGAATAATACATGAAAACTAACACGAAAATATATATTTGTTTTGTATCGAACAAATGTCATTAATATGGAGCCAGAAAAGGGAACTGTTTTCGTACAGAATATCACAATAAAAATAATGTATAACACATAATTTCATTGTGCCTTCGATAGGTTGTGAATTAGGTGCCGATTACTTTGAAAATTATGTATTTTGTAACGAATATATCTCAGAAAATGTTTCTGAAATGCAATGACAAGCAATGAAAACAATAACTTGTGTTACGTAGATATTTAAATTTTGATATAACATATGAATCTAAGTCGATTCGAGAAAACGTAGTCTTTACTAAAAAAGTAGAAGACATTTTTTTAGGGGGTTTCAATAAAACAGTTGATGAATAAATTCATGATGTATTGGTTGTACCGTTAACAGAAGAGAAAAAAATATATAAGTAAGTAGCATGCATTTAGTTTCAATATTGTAATAAGTTGATGCGGATGTAGCCGTTATACAAGTGGTAAAAAAAGAAAGTTTTTTCCCATTTTTCATTTCAATCTTCCCCTGATAATGTTAACTTGGTGATTGAATTGGGCATTGAAAGAAACTGCTCTAGTTCCAATCTTTTGTGTTTTGAAGTAAAAATAATACTCAATCAATACAAGTCAATCCTCAATCAAGAATCTGAGGAATTATTACTACGCAGTATAAATGAGCAATCAATTTGGATATTTAATGACGTGTCACTGTACTTCTCAATCGATTGTCTCTGGTAATTGACTCGACCAGTGAAAATATGGTGTTTCAAGATGATTTTTTCAATGACTGGTATAACAGTTTTCATTTTTTTGCATTCAGATGTATAATATAAATTTTTCCGCTATAAATTTCGCTTTCAAATTGTCATAATCCCAGTGAATTTGCAGTAAATGTTATGTTTGTCCTTTGTAGAATTGAAGCAAATGGATGAATTTATTAGAGGCAGTTATGATTCCACAAACAGAGAAATTTGAATGGCTCAATGGTAAAGTTCTCAATGAAACAAAATGAAATCTGTAACCAAGGCTAACATATGAAATTAATATTTATCCGGATCTGGAAACATATTTGATTGACATTATTAACATTACAATAATTGTAATGTTTCGACACGTAAGACGAGTCAAGCAAAATCATGTTGATGAAACTGAACATTTTTGAAAATGTATGTTATGCCCCGAGCCCCGAGATCTTCAATTTTGGAACTACCAATATTTGTACAGTAAAATTTTCATTTTGAGTAACATAAAATAACTTTTGCGAATATGTCACTAGCTTGTGGTTCAAAAATTTCCAATCAAAATGATATCTTCTGCAAGCAGACTCTTGACTGACTTGACCCAAAAAGGTACTGCTTTACAATACAAATAACTCAATCTAGAAGTAAGTCATCACCAGAATCAGTCAGATTTTTTTTTTAGCCACTCGTGGGACCCTCAATGGGCCATAAACATCTTTGTTGGCATCAAAAGGATACAAATGAACTCACCAAATAAATTTTCGCCAAAAACTTATGTCAGTAAAAATTCAGTAATTCGTTTTGTGAGAAAATGGTTTCAGAATGGGTTTTCTGAGGTATATACTTTTTTTTCAATAGAACGGTAATAAACCGAACTCTTGAATGATCGAAATCCACACAGAAATTCAATATTTTTACAAAGATTCTGCAATCATTTTTCAACTCTGTTACTTCATTCAAAGAAAATTTCAAAGAAGGTGTTGTCATTTCGTGGAGATCAAATAGATAGTATTGAATTATTTTTTTTTAATTATTTCAGAATTGAAAATCGACTGGTTTCATGAATTTTACTAATTTCGTTTATTCAATTAATCATGCATGTATGCGATGTTTTTTGAATGCACTATTCAATCGATATGCTTCATAACTATTCCTTCAATTGTTGAAAAGTAATGTATTTGAAACGTTTTCAGTAGTTCACCATACGTGTTGTGTAACATTATTGTTCATCAAATCGCTCAATAATATTGAATGAAATAATCTGCACATGAAGTTTCAATCTTGAAAGTGTGAGTGCACTTTCAACATCGAGATTTTGTCCAATTTTTCATAGAAAATGCTATAAAATATCCCAATATATATTCCAAAAATTCTATTGTTATGTGGAACGTCAAATGAATACAGAAAATCAGAGGAATTGAAAAAAACATTGATGAGTTGAATATAGATTTAACACAAGTACTGTTTTCAAACACGAGAACTGCAATACTCTTTCGCATACCATGAAGTGCTTCCCATTAATTTGCTTGGACACTTCATGAAGTATTCCATCTCCTGGAGACACCAGCTTGGTTGGTGAAATACCCGTCGAGAAAAGTGTTGGAGTGCCAGAGGTTCCAGTTATACTTTCATCCAAAATAGATCAGTAAATTGCAGGAAAAATTGGGTGACTTCGACACAGAAAAAGAATTTCCATTTAACACACCTCAAGGACTTTGTACCGTGAACAAATTCAGTACAAATGATTTCTCTAAAGAGATTGGGAAAATATGCTTGTGCTCTCAAAAAATTTCGTCTGTGCTTATGTTTAGTGGATTAGGTATAGATTTTGAACCATATTCTTTATACCAGAATATATTCGTGATGTACATTCACTTCGTTCACCTTGTAGGACTTTTCCAGTTACAACACGTTTTAACTTTATGATATGTCGTTTCTCCAATTTAAGTTCTTGCGCTGCATTTACAGGCGCAGCCAACAAAACAAGATCAAACTTCAGAAATGCACTTGGGTATGAAATTTGTTGTTTTTAATAATAACATCAAATTACCGTCTTGTTTTGTTCATTGTTATCATGCACGAGCAGCGCACAATAATTCAGATAAGAAATATATTATTTGGAATCCATTATTATAATTTCTGAAGTATATAACGATTTACTTTAGAGATAGAAACGGCAATTTTGTTACATAAATAAGATTTTATATAATTTAATTGATGTTGTTTCTAGATTTTGTAAACAGTCATAGTGAACAAGGTTAACTTGATTATATATAATGATTCCGAAAATTTATTTTGTATTTTTTGTATCAACAACATTGTTGTTTACAAATTTTCTTAATTTATTATATTCAAACCATCCCCACTTTAACGCGGGTTTCTACATTTTATCTCTTCTGTATTCTATCTTTGTATTTTGATTTGATTTGATCAATAATCATCATGTTTTTAAACTTGTTCAAGCTTGGATTCAAGAGCCACTTCTTCAACAAACTACTGGTTTGTTGAAATTTTTTTTTGATAGTAACTACAAATTTTTTGTCATAAAATAATTTACTTTTCATAGTGAGATATTTTGATTGCCTCAATTGGTCCCCTAGCACAAATGTATGAACACAGTTTATTCAATTACATTTACTTTCCGAATATGATTTTTGAAATCATACCATACATTTTGATTACGTATTATTGCAAAATATCGTCATGCTCATAATGCCAATATTAGAAATATAAACCATGAGAACTTCTGAAAAACTTGAAAATGAACTCGCTACAAAGAAGGAAAATATATCAAACTGCGAAGTGACCAAAAGCCGTAAATAACATCATAAAATTGGAGTATTTTGAAAAATTCCGTCAAAAATGTTGAAATTGATATGAATGATATCTTAATAAATTTTCTTCAATCAGCACTTTGATCAATATACAGTTACACACTCACATTGATTTCTAAAATTATTTATTTTAAAAAAGAGAATAATTAATATTTTACATGGAATGTTTCTCAACCATATGATATGGAACTTTTCTGATTCTTCCAATTTTCACAGATCATGTTTGAAGATGTAATCATAATCATATACAATGTCCTCTGTCAATGACAGAGGACATTGATCATATCTTGATCGAATAGCAATAAAAAGTAGCCACATCTTTGAAGGAGTTAGTTGTAGTCATGAAAAATTAGAAATGAAACTTATTATATTTTTTCATCACTTGTTCGAGTGGTCAAATATCATAGAAAGTTTTATGGACCTTTTTTAAAATGATATCCTACCACGTAGTAACGGCCACAGCCATCAATTTAGTTGTAGTTAGTTACTGAAGGAGTAGAAACTTCAGAATTATTCAGCTTCGGAAAATTTTAATATCCTACTAATAAATAATATTATTTCTGAAACCACATCCACCTTATACTTGTATGGATCTAATTCCATAATTTCAATATTTTACTGATTTCTTAATACTATAGAATATTATTTTTTCTATTTTTTTCTCGATTCGGTATACAACAGAATGCTTCATTGCTGTCGATGAAAAAACTGAAATTTCAATTGCTTAGGAATCAGAAGTGAAACAAATAATTCTCATTTCTTGAAGCTCATTTCCAGCAAAATATTGGATTAGAACCATTAACGATCCCATGTTTCCATCGGCACATATGATTTCTACTATATAGAACTGTCAAAAATCAAAATTATTTTGTTACCAACGAAATACTGACATGAGATAACACTTTTCCCGTTTA